GTCGCGCCAGGCCAGCCAGACCGGTGCCCGGGTGGGACACCAACTTGGTAAGTTGTTTGCCTGGGTGTTTGCCTAGTTGTCACGAGGTGCCACGTGTCACAATTTCACTGGAGGGCCAAATCTGCCCTCATCAATTACCGCCGGACATTCTTTTCATGTCTAACATTACTTTGCTGGGGATTCCCTTTAAGATACATAGGTAGGCAAAGTTTGATTCATACTGCGTTACCCAAATGCTAATGTAAGTTTGATAATTGATATAATAATGTTAGACATGATATAATAATGTAGAAATAAAAATTACTACAATTGGGATATAAATGTAGTTGACACAATTATCATTAGGGATGCAAATGGATCGGATCTGATTGGATTGGATTCGAATTAGGGTATATTTGAATCTGATTCGATATCGTTCATGTCAAACCTGATCCAATCCGAATATTAGATCGAATCTGATAGGCCTCGATCTGAATTCGAATCTTATTGGTAAATTGGGTCTTCGGATCTGATCCGATTCAACTTGTTTTCTTTAAAAATTATTAAACTACTAAATTATTAAAAGAAAAAGATAAAATGTACCAATTTAATTAAAGAAAAAACAAAAAATATAAGTATTTTTTAATATTTTCATCATATATATACATGTTTTTTATAAAAATTAAATAATATAACAAATTTATAAAAATATAATATAAATAAATAAATAACATATATATGTATTATATATAGATAACATATATCGAATCGGATAGGAGGTGATCTGAATCTAATCCAATATGTGATCGGATCCTATTATCCAATCCAAAGATCTGAATAGGGGTGATTCAAATTTGAAGAAATAAGACCAGATCTCGGATCGGATCCATTTGCACCCCTAACTAGCATCCATTGCATTCATGATTATCATCATCATCGACTACCAAAAGAAAAAGATTATCATCATCATCTAACCTTTGTCCCAACTGTGTGGGGTCGGTTACCTCATCATTTGGTTCTGGTGTTATATTTATTGATAAATTATGAGTATTTGAATCATTTCTTACTCCTTCAATCCATGCTATTTTTGATTGACAGTGGAAAGCCGCTGCACTACAGTCCTCATAAACGAGTACTTATTGGGGCAAACACCATTCTCATAAATAAAACCTACCAAAAATAAAGAAATTCTCTCAAATAAGAGGGTTGTGCAGGTAAAACAAATTAATCGGATTCAAAATGTAGGCTTAGAGATTGCGTTAGGGACAGATAGGTTTGGGTCTATAAGGTCAACCCAAACCATTGACAGGGCTAAACCTCAACCTTACAAGCCCAAGGTTGACTCTTCTAATCTTGTTTCAAATACAAACCTAAGCCCGGCCTTTCATATTTGTACCTGTCTGCTCGATTAGCAAATAATCTTTGGAAACCTTAGAAGAGCGAGGTCTGAAACAAAGTCGGATCTAAACTTTGATGTTTGAAGTTTGCAGCCCAGCCTAATGCCTGTTTGGGACTTGGGAGGGCTTTTACAATGGGCTTCTGGCTTTGAAAGTTATAAGTTAGAACCCACACAGAGTTGAAGACTTGAAGTTATGTCTTGTGAAAACCCCGAAAAGCCAAGTACGCTTTATTCAGCGGCTTAATCAACGCAAGTTACGCAGCAAACGGACTCGGTGGATAGAACAATCATGCTTAGGGTTGCCGGTTGCAGGTTTGCAGCTTAGATCAGGAAGCTATTTCCAATTAAAGCTGCACAGCTGGCCCGCCATCGAATTCAACCGTAGGTTATTAGTTCCTCTTAGGATTGGCAATTTCTTTCCTACATGATGGATCCGCTCCAATAGGATGGATTTTTTTGCTTAAAAGATGAGGATGGGTTTTAGGATTTTACAACTTGAAAATTCTTCGCAGTCTGTATATTGTTAAAAAACATATAAATTTTATATATTTGGTGCTAAATTTAATAATATTTTGAATTTTATATGAAGGATAATTTATATTTTATATTTTTTTACATGTTTTAATTAAATAATTAGAAATTTTGTTATTTATTTATATTGTTTTACTTATTTATTACTTATATATAACAAGAAATAATAATAAATTAGATGTGGATTCTAAATTCAACCTATCCTACCACTGTAGAGAAAATAGGACCGAAAAGGGTTTGAATTCTCAAAATTCAACCCACTATAGGTTTTGAAACAGATACATGTTGGAAGGTTTAGAGAGGCGGACAGGGCCTAGAATTTAAAAAACCCTCTCCCAACCCACCTCGTTGTCATCCCTACTTCCTCTCCACTGAACAATGCTAGGAGCCTTGATTAAAAGCCCAGTAGAGTCTTGGCACGGGATGGGGCCAACCCATAACTCAGTAACTCAGTTATTGGAGGGGTGATTGGTCTATAATTGACACATCATCTTCCAATTCAACACGCATGGTTCATGTTATTCAAATTTCTGAGGAGGAGTACAAGTCTGCTTATCCCAAACTTCTTCTTAAAAGACAGCACATCCAGCAGAAGAATCTGTACGCACAAGAGCCACAGACCCTTGTACAAAATACCAGCCTTGCATTGGGTTGGACTTCGGGAGCCCTCAATTCAACTACATTCCAAATTTTGTTGCGACTGCGGCCCAACCCCAGCATAATTCTTGAGTTGGGTCAGATGAGTTCCGGTTGAATCAGGCCCAAGACATTTCCTATTCACTTTCTCTACCCACACCCTACTTACAGAATGGTTTTCGAACCCCCGTTGACTCAGACTGTTAGACCGTTCGGCTCGGGAGTTGTTCAGACAATCGGTTCCATTTTACTTCAAACCCGGTCCTTGGTCAAAAACTGTTGAATCGGTCAATGATCCATTGACTCAGACGGTCGAACCATCAATCCATCACTGTCATTCCATTTTTAAAATTTTTGTTATGAGAATGGGCCATCTGTTTGAACCAACTCACTTTGTCTTAAAAAAATGAATTTGTAAAAATACATGGCAATGCTTGATCATTCATTGATGGAATCCGAATTTGTTTCTCACAATGCCTTCAGTCCTGCAGTGAGAACATTTCCTTTACTTGATTTTATCATGGAAAGATGTTTCCAACACGCTCTATGAGGAGTAAATCCAATTTTATCATTGATCATGGTTCAAAATATGGATACTCTCTATTACAAGATACAAATCAAGAATTGTGTTTGAATTTCACAAGATTATTAAAATCTCAGGCCATGTATGACGGCTCCGGATCTCCTGCCCACGAGAACCCTTCTCATGCCTATCCACAATACACCACCCCCGTGAATTGGGAAGATCTTCCCTTACATAATACTATGCAGAGGATGAGATGTTCTCCATGTGTAATTGCAATAAACATGGGGAGGGTTCTCGTGGACAGGAGATCTGGGCTCATGCATGACATGACATGTCAGCCGCCGATGATAGCAGAGGGCAAAGGCCGAAGGGAGGAAGAGGAAGACTTTGATTTCAGTCTTCCGAGAATGAAGCGAGAAGACTGAAGAGTTCACAACCTTTCACACACCAGAGATGAGAGACCAGACCGAGCGAGGAGCCTCGACATTTGGCTACGTCTGTCCTGGCCTGGCGTCCCCTCCATCTCCTCCATGAACCACCCGAAATTCAACTCAATTTTTTCCACAACACGTTTGAAGAAAGTTCTAAGAAGAAAGCAGACGCTAAACGTCAAATGGGTCAGTCAACCATGCAACCTGCTTAGCTTTTCAATATGCCGATTATACCCATTCCCTCTAGAAGCGCATTCTTTCTTCCACAAGGTTATTTTTGTCAATACATCCTTTATAGTCATACTCCGCGTCGAAGGAAGTAGGGCTTCCGGCTTCGTTTGCGAGGGGAAAACAAGCGGTTATAACTCCATTCTGAATCCCCTCTCTCTCACACCGCAAACAGAAATCCTTCAGGAAGGACTCGTTTCTTCTCAGTTCTTGAGGCGATGGAAGACTGCAGACCTCTGGGTTTCTTGATTGGGTTGCCCTTCGCTCTCGTTGCCTTGATTCTGTCGCTCCTGGGTGCAGTTGTATGGGTTCTGGGGTAAGCATTTCTCGTTCTCCCATTATTTTTCCTTCTCATATTCCATCATTTCAATCACATTTTCTCCTTCTGGGGAAAAACTGAAAAACCTAAAACCACAAATTTATTTATTTATTTATTTCTCTCTATCAGATTTTCATAGAAATCCTGCGCTTCTCGCACATTGCATTTTCTATATGTTCCTCTGTTTTAGGTCCAGACTTGAACTTCTGGTTTTAATTGCTTTTCGTTTTGATTTTTGAATGGCAGGACTGTGTTGAGTTGCTTGTGCCCCTGTTGCATCTGCTTTACTGGACTAGCGAACTTGGCTGTGAGCCTTATAAAACTTCCCGTTAAAGTGATCAAATGGTTTATCCATCAAATTCCCTGTTGATGTTGATCATGGATGGTTGGTTGTCATAATTCTTTTTAATTGTTTCATCTTTCAGGAAATCCATTCCATCTTCATCTGTTTATAAATTGAATGTGTTATTAGTCGGTTAATCCAAATTCAAAGTTGTTGACCTTGTAAAGTTTTTGAAATTCTCGTTAGATTGACCCGATTCAGGATCACATTGAACCTACTACTACTTAGATCCTTGTCTATGCTCGGATTTTTAATTGAATTCGGATTGCAATTTAATAGCATTAATAGATCAAACTGAAAATAATTAAAGCATTGTATTAATGATAAAATCAACTAAAAATAGGGCCCGTTTGGGTTGTAGGAATAGAAATCTGGAATTGGAATCAAATCAGAATGACTCATTTCGATTTTTACTGTTAGAATCAGAATCCAATTCTCATTCGTAATAGAATGCCATTCTCCCATTTTACCCTGGGGAATGAAAATCTGATTCCAAGTTACTCCAATTTCCAATTCTTATGTAAACCAAATAAATAGGTGGCAGAATAATTTTGACTATGATTCCGACTTCAAATCACATGGACCCTTAGATATTTTATATGGAGAACAAAATGAATAGAAAATAATTTGTATTAAGTAAAAATAAGCATTTATATTTAAATTGAATTGGATCGAATCATACCGGGATAATATTCAATCCAATTATAGTAAAGCATGTCAAATTCGTATCGCCCTTAATTAATCAGATCACATTTGAAATCGGACACAGATTACCCGTTTGCAACCCTACCATTGTCTTGGTAGATCAAAACTTCTAAAACATTTCTGATTTAAGCTGGGATTTTAGAGATGCTCATGCTATCAGAAGACTACTCAACAAGAACTTATATAAATTAGTTTCGTTACGTTTAAAATTTAAAATCCAAAAATAAAATGTTGGAGGAAGGAATTGCATCGTATGGCTGCAAAATTGTATCATTTCAATAAAATTTGAATTCAAATCTGATCCAGTTATTCAGTTAAGGCCATCTGTATATATGATCCATTAAATATGGATCCACCCCAATCCAATTAGATTTGATAATATTTTAACCAGTATCTATATCTATACTATTTTAAAAAGCATCAATAGCTCAAGATACTTTTAGAATTTTCTAAAGAAAAAATTTATTCCTCTATATTTAAATTTATTAATAAAAAATAAGGACAAATAGGTTATTGGTATTAAATGAATTGAAAAGAGTTCATTTTAAGATATTCAATGCATTTAATTCTTTCTCATTAAATCCAACATTTAAGTTATTAACTTTCATTTACCTTCATTGAATTATATATTTAAGGGATTTTTGCTTCTTCTCATCATTAGATTCTATTAATTAAATCTGTACATGATAAATTAATAATTCCAATAACATAAAAACTTATATTTTGAATATCTACGTAGAAAAAATAGTGTTTCCATCTAGGTGGTGGTAAGAAATTAAAGCATTTTGGGTCAAATGGGTCAATCCATATTGCCACAATTAAATAACAAAATTCAAAAACAGATAAAATGAATATATATATATATATATATTAAAAAAAAGTAGCATTTTTTAACATCATATATTAGACATATTAAATCATAATAAGTATGATAAATAAGAAATATTTTTATTAATGACGAAAATGGAATATAAAATTTAAAACCAATTAGAAATAAAACTATTTTCCTATTCTCTCTCATTAAATCTCATATGTAATGAGTTATATTCTCTCATTAAATCCTATATTTAAGATATATTTTTCTCATCATTAAATTCTACTAATTAAATCCATAATATTAATTTTCATAGTATAAAAATAAATATTTTGAAAAGTAATTTTAAAACAAAACCATTTTCTTCCCTCTCCGTGATAGGTAAGCAATTCAACCATTTGGGGTCAAATGGATTAATAAATAATGCCAGAATTAAATAATAAATAATTTAAATAATAAGATATATAATAAAAAAAATAAAAAATAGGCATATCTCTAATATTGTATATTCATTATACTAAACAAAAATAAGTATAAAATGTAAGAAGTATTTTTATTAATGATGAAAATAGAATGCCAAACTTAAAATCAACCTAGAAATGAAATGATGTCATAGTCAAATGATAAAATTTTTTAAAATAGAAAAATATAAAGAATCATAAAAGTTAAAAAGTACACAAAATTTGGTTATGCATCTAATGTTATATGTTTATAAAAAATAAAATATTGGATACATCTCTAATATTATACATTCATTATTTGAACAAAAATAAGTATTATACATAAGAAATAATTTTATCAAGGATGAAAATCTAATATAAAACTCAATGTCAACTTAGAAGTCAAAATATTTTCCTTTTCAAGTGGTATTTTGGTGGTTCGGGTCAAATGGATTAATCGATGATATGACAGTTAAATAAGAAAACCTTTAAAAAATAAAAAAAAAATACAAGTAATCAAAAGAATATATATATATATATATATATATATATATATATATATATATATTTTGTCAAACAAAAATTAAGTGTGATAAGAAAAAATTATTTATATAATGTAGATGAAATATATAATTTAAAACTAATCCGAAAGCAAAGCTATTTTCTTATCTTGACGGTGGGTCAATACAACTTTTCAAAGAAACACATGATGTGATAATTGAATAATAAGTATTTAAAAAAAGATAGAACAAAAAAATAAAAAAAATATAGAATTTTGTCAAAAAACATTTGTAAACATTTCTAATGTTATATGTTCATCATATTAAATAAAAATAATTGTTAAAATAAAAATTATGTTTATTTATCATAGAAATGGAATACAAAATTTAATAATAATAATACATTTATATAATATATATGTAATAATTATATAATAATATAAAATATATATAATATATTAATATGTAAATTTTTATTTTCAATTTTATTATACATCAAATTTCATATAAAATAAAATTTTAAGATTTTTTTTGTCTATTTTATTCATTTATTTAAAGAAAATTTACTATTTTTTCAATTCTTTTAAAAAAATATGCCTCTTATGGCCTAACCCAAAGCCCGGTCCGGGCCCGCCTCGGCTAATGCCATGGGCCATGTCTGGCCTGACCTCTTAAGGATCCCAAAGGAGGCAGACATGACCCACATAGGCCCACTAAACACTGGCAGCTGAAAAAGTCATGTCATACCGGCCTGACATGGCCCAATTTACACCTCTACTCTTGGGTAAGTGAAGTGAAAAATAATAAAAACATAAAGAGGAAGAGTGGAAATGTGTTCATCTTCACATGCTCCAATTGTTGTTTTTAATTCTTTTTTGATGTTCGGATGGGATTGATTTGTAAGAGAGGAGCTGGTGCTGAACAAAAAAAAAGACTTGATTATAGGCTAGAACAAGATTCAAAATATCACAACATATCAGTTCATATCGACTGATACGTATTGTTCTGATAAGAACCCAATATGCAGAACGTGTATAAATCATTTGTTTCGTTTCTTTTCATATGTATCGGGCTATTTCAGATCTCTATCGGTTGGCCCAATACAGTCTGATACGGGTCTGAAACAGTTTGGATCAGTATCGTTAATCCATATTTAATATCGAATCTCTCATTAATGTTGTTTATTTAAATCTAATTTCTCTTTCATTAATTAGCTAATTACTTCAAGGCAAATTTAAATTTGAATTTAAGAGCCTACTTCAAATTCTCTCATTAATTCCTTTAATTAATGATCCCCTATCATTAATTTTGTTTTGTTAGTGTAATAAAAACTTCAAATTTTAGCTATAAGAAGATTCATACCTTAGTCACTTGATTTTAAGTTCTAATAACCACAAGTTCACCAATGAACTATACATATTTGTTTGTTATGATTATATGTATTTTTTTTATTTTAAGTAAATTTTCACTTTTCTTAAATGAGTGACAAGTTCTTATTAATAAATGCTAGAATTACTTATTAAAATTTATATATTCATAAATGTTAAGATTAATTATACTAGTTTTTTAAAATTGACATTCACATTTTAGTTATTCTATCATTTTTCAACGGTTACTAATTGTGTTCCGATATGTCACACTTTATATAAAGCATTAAATTATGGTTTTTTACATTTAAATAATTTATTTACAATCATATAAAATTTGTAAATATAGTTAGTAATATATTTTTTAAGATTTATTTAAATTTTTTATCATACTTGTGTATCTTGATTTTTCATCCATATCCATACGTATCTAAAGCATATTCCAATTCGTCTCTTAAAATTGTCTTTCCAATACATCTTGTATTTTCGATACTTTGAACCTTGGGTTAAAAAGAAAGAATAGAGTTACATAATTAAAATGAGTAGAAAGAGAGAAATGACATTTTAGGGGGGGGGGGAATAGTCATTACCCATTGGATAACGGTGACCAAGCCATAACACTTTATTGTTACCAACCCGCTAGTTAAATGGATTAGCGGGTTGGGTCAAAAAAATGCCGCCCCTACTTGAGTCGTTGATCTCTTGTTTTTTCCAAATTAAAAGTTCCATACCATTGACCGTGTGAGTATCACTATTTCTATATTTCCCTGACATAAGAGAATCAGCTTGTTCAGTCATCTGTGAATAGGCTGAGACGATGACTGAAATGGGGGATGAAAGATTATCTATTCAAACACCATTTTGTTCCTCTTCTTCCAAATATTCCACTTGAAATACATTAATTTTGTAAATAGAAAACGAGCTTAAGAGATACTTTCACTAGCATAGCTCATTTATGCCTCGAGACAAGGGGGAATCCATCATCCATGAGAAAGATTAATTTAATTTTATAGGTGCATGATTAAACGTAGGGGTGTTAATGGTATTTGAAAATCCGATTTCGAATTCGAGATTTGACATTATTGAATCGAATTCGGATATTCTATTCATACCAATTATTTAATCGAATTCAATTCGATAAATATCTGAATTCAACCAACTATTTAATTCTTATATATAATATATAAAATATTTAAATATTTTATATAATTTATATATTTATATACTTATATAAATATATTTATTAATTACCTAAAATAATTAATCGATCAAATTCTAATTGAATTGAATCAAATATTCAAATATTTAATCGAATTTTAATTTGAATATTAATTTTCAATATCCATCGAATATCTAATT